CAATGTATGAACTGTTTAAAATAAGGCTTTGTGATCCTCAGCTCAGGTCCTTTTTTTTTTACTTTTTCATGATGACAATCGAAGGGTTAATATGAGAAGAGCATTTGAGAAGAATTAGACAAATAGTCTGAATGACATTGCTAAACTTTTTTGGGAAAAAACAATCTTTTTACATCATTGTTAATATTATTACTACACACAGACCCAAAATACACACATTCACATGCAAACAGGACCAATAGAAATGCATTAGAAGAGAGGATTTTAAAGTGATGGTGATGTTACAAAAGCATCACTCCTGGTGGGTAGGGGCTCAGTGCCTTGCTCAAGGACATGTCTCAAGTGTCCAGGAGCTGAACTCTCCTGCTTCCCACTTCAATAGGTAATCTTTGCTGGACTGCACAGGCCACTGTCCAAGTCCCAGTCCAAGTCCATGCAGGATGATGTACTGCACACTACCAGCTGCTTTCTAGTTTGAACTCTCAATTTTATTTTTCAAATGAACGCCACTGGAGAACAGAGGACATAAACTTATGAAGGATATAAATTTGTCAGGGTCTTTTCTCACATATTGTCTCAGGAGCCAACATCATGCACCTCCATGACTGGACTTGGCTTCATTTTTCTCCTCTCACTCATCCAGACAGCTAGTTGGGGTTTTTTTTTTGCCTCTGTCTGCCTCCGTGGTGTGTTTAGTTGGTCAGGAGGCCAGAGCAGGGCTCCGCAGACAGCTGCCAAAGCTCTTCTTATTCTACCAGGATATCCTTTTGATTTGACAAAATGCCAACAGTGACCATCAAATATAGTAATCTGGCAGACAGGTCAGGGAGCAGCTGGGTGCACGTGCCAAACATGCCAGTCCACTTGTCTTAAGGAGCATGAAGTTGGCTTGCCAGGTTTGGGGCTTAAGCTTAGCTGACTAGCTGTGAAGCCTCTCCTTGCAGACACTGGGTCGCACATTCTCAAACCTAACAGCCTATCATTAATGAAGGGACATTTCTTCAAGACCCATTTTTCCACTAAGTAACTGTTAAATTATCTCTTTTAATCAACCTGTAAAATGTAAGCAAATATCGAAAAAGTCTCGATCGCCAAGTTCATTTTGGTCTCTTTCCCACAAATAGTTTAAATACTGACTTCCACCAACAATTAAAGAAATGTAAATCCTTTATATACACTTTCCCACTCTGAACAGCTTGTCCATTAACTATAGATCAATCATTTCATGGACTGTACACTTGAACACTAATTTATTTTCTTCATCAGTCATTTTATCATCAGATCTTACTTCGCCGTAAAATCCGACTTGTAAAACTTACTTAAAAAACCATGAACACCTATTGTCTAATAAAACAAAGTAAACACAAGCATTTGAACTTAGTAACGTTAAATACTGTAGATGTTGTCTGTTGACCTTACAAAACCTTTTTAGTGGTTAGTACTGAGATATGTATTGTTTATTTGATTTTTTAAAATAATAAAGCATTACTGAATATGATTGTCCGGGCAATAATGTCTTAAATGATTCAATATAAAACCCAACCTATGCAAGGACTCAGTCATAGCATTTTTAAATCTGCTCAACCTGTCCAACTCAAAGTCACTTTATCTCTTGAGGCCTGTTTACAAAGAGTTCTGCTTTCCTGAAATATGTGGCTTTCCCCACAACATGACTGAGTTTTAGCCAGGGTTGGAAATTAGCACGCACCAAATGAGGATGCAATGTCAGGTGAATTTGCTCAACCTACAGCCACAGTGGTGGGTAAATAAAAGTAACATAACAGAGTGATTTGTGACAAAAAACAATGTATATTTAATTCTGGGCCTCTGGTTGTTCACTCTGACTTTATGAGCAGAGCCAGGCGGTCCTACATGCTCCCAGTGTCAGTGTTAACGTAAAATAGGCTATGGGCTAAATGGCTTGCTTTGGTGAAACCACCACTAATTGTTGCTCTGCTGAAGCTCAGTTAATATGATAATCAACACATTGTATCTCTGATTCTTTCTTCGCAATTAAAGTTCCAAAGGTGTGGGGTTTTCAGCAGTAGCCATTTAACACAACTAAAGACGTCTGAAATACAAACACAGGAGTTAACAAAACTTATTAGACCACACATATTAGAAGCTACAACGAACTGAGTGCTGGACACGCAGTGACTTAAAAACATCTTTGTCTTGTCTCATGCTCAGACATAGACTAGTCTGAGTGCTGTACAGACTTGCCTGAGATGGGGTGTCACACTTGAACATGGGATCATGTGTGATCTCAAAATGAAAATCACTTTACTGCAGAAACATTTATGCTCGTGATGACTCTGCTCATGTACTTTTAGAGCAATGAATGAATTGTCTTGCCTCTGAGTCGAGGTTTAGTAACAGCTAATCAGTCGTTCAGGACATAGATGCAATGGAGACTCCAACCAGCCTTAAAATTGTAAACAAAAATAACAAACTTTTTCTCTGCATATGAGCGAGACAAAAACCATTTAAGTATTTTCCTTAATAGTTGAAACAATTGTCATCATAAATATTCTATTATTTGGATGCTTGAAGCCTTGATTGTAATATTATATGTTGGCTGGTAAAAAAAAAAAAAAAACAGTGGCAGCTAGATTTTTAGATCCACAGCAACAGTGGCAGGTAGGCGAAAAATGGTAATTTCCAACCCTTGTTCCAGCAGTGGGCATACACACACACATACACACACACACACACACACACACACACACACACAGGTGATTATAGATTTTTTGACACCCTCATGTATTTATAAGCTGCTTTCTCCCATGCACCAGGCGAGGCCCGGGTGTGTATGACCTAGAAGAAGCTAGACTGGGTGACCCACTGGTCATCCTAGGAGCCATCTGGCAACCGACGCCTTGTGTGGCTTACCCGTCCCACTGCCTCACGCAATTCCTTAAGCAAGCATAAGTGTGCTTAGGAGGACTTAATCTCAGAGAAACTGTTTTGGGCCGCACTGTCGACTGTCAGTGTGGATGCACCCGTCTGTTACAGTACTGCAGGTCATGGGGTTCCTTCGGTCATGTAACAGGAAGACTGTGTTTTTGGCAGAGAACCCTGATCGTCAGTTGTTGTGTGAATAAAATCTATGCCGGGATGGGCCTTGTTGATGAAATGTGTCCCCTAAGAAGATGTTCATACCAACCAGGTATTAAATAAATGGAGGATTCTTTGGTATTTCATGATGCATAACTTTTAAGCTGTGTGGAAAACTTGATAAGTCATCTGGTATCAGGTGTGTAAGATCATTTGCCTGATGTTACAAAACATTGTAGGCATTTGCCGCACTTTAAGATGCACCTGGTTCGTGTTCTGTTGGCACGAGGGCGAAGCAGGAGAAGTGACAGAAGCTTGAGCATGTCTGCACTTGCACAGAGGTCACTGCTGCCTTTTTGACTGTCTGCCAGTGCAGGGGCCAGAATCTTCCAGAAGAGGGCCTTGGCTACCGGCAGACAAGTGAGCCAGCCAGCCAGACAGGCAGCCAGCCGCAACGTCTGCAGTCTAGGTCTGGGGCTAGAGCCTGGACTAGGGCAGCTCGAGTTACCCAGACAGATTTGTTAACACTGTTTGGGTCCGCTCGGCTTTCTAGCCAGGCCTCTGAGCCAAACACGGCTGAGGTGACTTAATCTGTCATTAAACTCACATTACACCCGGACAGAGACTCGGCTCAGGGGCAGAGACAGCGCTTGCTCTCCCACTCACTGGCATGGCTGGCTGGATTTGAGCAGACACAAAGAATACCCCCACCTCCCTCCTCCCTCTTCTCCTCCTCCCCATCCTCTTCATGCCACACACCATGGCACAGCTAGACAGCTCTGCACGGTCTAGACAAAAGCAATTTCACTTGAAGTTGAAAAGTCATTTGACTGTGTGACGGACACCTGTACGGATTTGCTGGTGTGCTTGAATGTATTTGTATTCTTTTATTGAATAAGAGCACTTTCTTATACTGAGCTTATCTGCTGTGTTGATTATATAAAGCTCTGTCATCGATATTTGATTTGTATTAGCAGAAATATGTACAGATAATATCAGAACGCTTAAACAAATGTAATGAAAGCCTTTTTTTCCAGTCCTAATGATTAAAAGTCTTCACAGAATTGGTACGTGTGCAGTTTGATGAAAGTCTCCTTTCCAGCCCAAGTCTTTGCATTAATATTTAGAGTAAAACAACATGACAGTAATCAGGACCAAAATACTAATCATTGTATGGTATTGTCGACACAGGTCACATTTGTCTCTGTGATTCCTCGCTGGCTAACAGACAAACAGGAGGATATGGCTGAACTTCATCCACATTGGGCAAACAGAATAGCTTCCATTACTCTTGGCTTAAAAATGTCAGAATCCCTAACAACCTGCAGTACCCTCAGTGGAGGTCTGAGACATTGTTTCCCTCTGCTGAGATTTGTTTTTACTTTACAGCTGGTTCTGGTTCTACCACCAACCTCAGCGCACCCCACTGAAAGCCGGCATATGAGCATCATAATCAACTGTTACAAAGAGCAGTGCCAAACCAACAGGCCGCATTCTTACAGAGAAAAATTCTGTTTTATTTCACTAAGTCCATTTTATTTATCTGTTTATTCCTAAACTTTGAGAGCATACTGTTTCATGTTAGTGATTATATGAAGAAAACCCATCGTGCATGTAACTGCACTAGGGTTAGAGAATAATACAGGGAGCTTCTGCTTTTGCTTTTGAATGTCTTGTGGCCTCTGAAAACAGAAATGCAACAGTAAACTCGTGCTTATCTTACACTCCGGTCAAATGGAAATGTTTTCTGACTGTCAGGTCGAAAAAACACCCAAACGCTAAATATGATCACGCTAAATATTATTCCAGCCAGCAACTTAAGCACAAAGCAAAGTATTCTTAATTTTCTCACATTTGGCGAAAAAATATGTTTCCCATTTAAGTATGAAAACATATACAAACAGGATTTAAATCCTGAGTGTTTTGTCTATATTTTTCCGCAGATCAAGAAATACTTCGAGCTGGAGCCGCTGGCCAGAGGGAAGCGCTGGATCCTGGAGGGCAGCTCCACCGACAACATGGAGACGGTGAAGGAAATATTTGGTCAGTTCATTAGCCTATTGGAGGACAAAGACACAGAGCCTGCAAGGATATGATGCTAACGCTGCTAATGCTAAGAGACATTAGCGGCTGACGACAAAGAAGAGCACCAGGCGCTGCTGTTGCACATGAACACACACATGCACAGACACACACATGTAAACACAAGAATATAGAGCAGAAAGCTGGCCTCCTTTGAGAAGTGTATTGTATGTTAGCCACCTTTTACTGGGCTCTCTTTTTTTTTTTCAAATTGAGATTGTGCACAAGCAGTCAGCCACTACAGCCTGAGTGCGGAGAGCTGCCATTAAACACAACTGATGTAAAGCAGTTTATACAGGAAAATCAGAACTCTGCCAGAAATGGAAATCTTGTTTACTACTGTCTGCGCCTTTGGGATTAAACCAGTGGCATGTGGGACATATGGCATTCCTTCAGTCATCATTGGACACTAACACACACATTCTCAGTCTTATACACACACACACACACACACACACACACACACACACACACACACACACACACACACACACACACACACACACACACACACACATCAGTCACACACAGAGTGAGCCCAGGTTGTCTGTAGATATGTTTAACATCTCCAGTAATGACTTTACAGGATGTGTGGGTGGGCACTGTTGACATTGTCACTGAGAAGAACTGTATGGTCGTCTTGTGTGCTTCTCCTTTTGACCCGGTAACAACGAATGTTGTTGTGTGATTGGAGTGAATAGTCCAATGCCTTGTCTTATGTACGGTAGTTACATATCTAATCTGAATAGTGTAGTCTGAGTATCTCATGGAGTATTATGTACATGCTAACAATATATTGCAGTGTACCCTCCTGTGCAGCCATACACAAGCACTAGTAATCATGTGACTGAGTGCTATACTGAGAAGTGAAGTGGAAACAAGAATGCTTTTATAAATGTGCAACTTAGGGTATATTTTATAGCTCTGTATGTTAACCACGTAGAGCTATGTACAGTGCATTCAGATTTCTATGTCATAACACACTTGTGAATTGTTTTAAATCAAAGACCAGAAAGAAAAGAAAAAAACGCAATGATTGACCAGGCTCCATGCAGCCTCAAGATAGAAAAATGTGATGAAGTAAGTTTTCTGTATGTAAAGCAAATGTCTTGTTTGTTTGTTTTCATTTTCACATTTCTTTTATTGTTTTCTTTTTTCCTTTTGAAACTCACATAATCCGTCTCTGCCCGGGGAGCAGCTCCTGTCTCCCATCAGGGTGGAATACAAACTCTATCAATCAGTCGCAGCAACAGCTGCATCTGACAATTCCCTGTCCGACACCCTAATGCCTTCCAACTGTCTGTGAAGACCCCTCCCTGTCTGCTGTTTATCGTGGACCCCCGCCCCACTTCATCCCCGCGCACTATGCTCCTCCACTGCAGTTCCGCTCCCCGTCCCCATTACCACTCTGCGGGGTTTTCATCCCACGTGTCATCTTTCTGCCCTCATGTGGACTAGCACCTTTAAAATTAGTCGTATTGAACGTGCCACAAGATGTGCTTCACTAATGAATCAAACCGCCTCCCTGTGTTTTTATTTTTATGCCTTTATTTTTTTAGAGATAGGACAGTGGAAAGAGTCAGAAACCGGGGGTAGAGAGTGGGGAACGACATGCAGGAAAGGTGCCACAGGTTGGATTCGAACCCGGACCTCCCACTCTTGAGGATGTGAGCCTCCGACATGGGGCGCGCACACTACCTGCTAGACTACCAGCGCCCCATTTTGTTCAGTGTTTTGTCAGGTTTTTAATCGCTTTTTGTCCTTCACTGAGATTTGCCAGCTAGCTTTTAGACTCTGGAGGGATCTGTGCCCCATTCAGTCACCTGAATGCAAAACAAATCTGTGGACGAGGGATTATACAAATGTTGAACTTTGCATTTCACCTGCTCACACATTCACTGCTGTCTGTTTTTTTTTTTTTTTTTTTTGTTGATTTTGTATCGTTATTTGTTTTGTTTTTTTCCAATCAAACTTTTTGTCTATTATGGCAATTAAAGTTTTAAAAAATGTCAATATGGCCTCTGTTGTTATTTAGTTTGATATTTCACATATCTAAGAGTCACACTCAGTACAGTCTCAGAATCTTTTATGTGTAACCTTGTGATACCAACAACAACATATATTTATAGGTATGGTGACTTTGTTGTTTTTTTTATACTTCAACATTCCAGCAATCTATGTAAGCATGAAACGGACGATGAGCTGAACAATATACAGTTCTGATTTGTATTCAAGTTGACCTGTGGAGACACGAGAGGATGATCATGAAATCCCAGATGAGGCATTGAAGGTTGTCTCATAATTTATGATTTTTCAAAGAAACCCTAGAGGTCAAAGTGTAGCAGCTGAAGAAAGTTTTGAGTGGAAAGTCAAGCAAGTGAGACAAGAGTTCCTGATAAATACACTCTACTCTGTGCTACCTCTGCCTCCCCTTTTCTTCTCCTTTTGCCCTTCTTCCATCTCTTTCAAATTAACCGTGTGGCTTTAATACAATGTGTGTCATGCAGGTTGCCTTGGCGACTCTTTGATCCTGTTTTCCAGTCTCTGCCTCTGGGGCAGACGTGCTTCTCTTCAGTCTGCTGCACACCAGCTCTGGAAGCTGTTGCAGCCCTGAGACAAACCACGGGCTGCTGAGCTCGCCTCGCTTCCCCCTTTTCTTTCTGTCGTTCTCACTTTCTCTCTGATTTTGCCCTCTCTCTATCTCTCTCACCTTATTCACTCATTTCTCAGGTTCTCTTCTTCTCTGCATCCCTTTCTTTACCTCACTATCTCTCAGTCTCTCTCTGCTTCCCTTTGGTCACGCCGAGGCAGCCTTCCCTCAGCTTGGGCGTCCAGGATTCCACGGGGAAGGGAAGAGGCCAGGACCTCAGTGAGCAGCCCTCCTGGATGAAAAAGAGAGACAGGGGACCCCCCTCTCTCTCCCTCTCTATCTCTTCCAATGATCCTCACGCTCTCTCTCTCTCTCTCTCTCTTTGTCTTTGTATAGTTGATTTTACTTCCCTTAAAAGATGCAGCCTTTCTCTTGTCCCACACAGGCCTTTACCTGCTCTACCTGTTTAATTGCTGCTGTCTGGCTGTGTGTTTTTCTATTTATTTTTGTCTGTCCTCCTTGTCAGCAGACCCTCAATGGCTTCCAGATAAGAAGTTTCAGAGCAGTTTTGTTGTTGATGTGCTAATCGATCTGTCAGCAACAATAACAGATGTGATGTTCACTGTGATGGATACAGTTTCTCTAGAAACTTTCAGGTCCCTGCATGTTGATTTCTATAGTTCACTAATCTGAATGGTAATAAATGGATGCCTGGAAGGGGGGAACATCAAACTATCTATGGCAGGCTTAATTTCTGGCTGTAAATAAAGCAAAGGTGTGAAAGAATGAAGCTTGTTGAATGCCAGAGCGTTTCTTTTTCAGGCTGACTAAGCTTGACACAAAAAAGAACTTTAATGTACTCTTCAGAGTTCACACCTGGCAACCACAGACCATGTGCAAACTGGAAGCCTCCAGCATCATTTGTAAATCTTTTGTACTTTTGCTTTTCTGACATAGAAAGAGCGCTGCATGCACGTCATCGCTTGTTCTCTTTGAACAACTTAGTTACAGTGTGTACAGTTCATATGCGTTACAGTGAACACAGGAAAGGTGTGGATTTGATTTAAATACTGGCCGCGTACATTCAAACACTGAAGGACTGTAAATCAGCACTCGTAATTTTACTGCTGAGGAAGCAGACCAGCCATGGCATGAATGAAAACCATGTGGGATTTTCAAAAATATTATCTTCAAACATTTTACCTTTTTCAGCACAACCTCAGCGTGACTCCTTCAAGCGTAAAGTAGAAGCTGCCAGAGCGTGTTGTCCCTGCTCTTCTCGTTTGGGAGTTAAGCAGTGTGTATTTTCTTCTTATGATCATCAACTTGGTGCAGAGAAGAGAAAGAGAAATACAGCACTCTGTGTGACGGATTCCAGAAATCTAGAGATATAACAAAAAAAAGTAAATGATCAATCAAATACTGAAAAATATGATGTCATAAGGTCCTATTAAAAGGCATTAGAGATTATGACATCAGGCCTTTGAGTCATATTTAGACTGTTATGTGTTAATAAAACTATACAAGTTTGTTGTACAAAATAAAATACACTATTAGATTATTATTATGAGAAACGATGAAAATGTAAAGACGATCACAAGAAAAGCTTGAATATCATTACGAGCACATTTATTGAGTTTCATTATTTTGTACTAATTTAAGTTATAGCATTTTATGTATCCTACATGTCTTTTAGCAGACGCTTTAGTCAAAAGTGACTGAGATCATTAACAACACAAGCAAGGATCTAGAGACGGTTTTAAAATGTGTGTTAAATCTTCAATTATAAAGAATATAGTGAACGTTTGTGGAATTTAAATGAAAATTTAGAAAAAAAAAGAATTGTGACGGCCCTTTGAGTTTGACTGCATTGATGTGAAATTGTGCAGTTTATTTGCCCTGGCAGGACAGTGTGCCTCACGCAGTATAAAGACCCACCAGAGGTAAAAACAAATACAGTCTCACACACACAACAAAATAAAGCCTGCGAGCTTTGTGAAATGCAAATGCGCGACCCGACGGGGAACCTAACTTTTGTTTACAAGACAAACGAAAGCCGGCATGTTTTCTTAAACTCTGCAAAGAATTCCCTTTTTCTCTCCATCTTCTGCTGTCCAGTGTGTGTGGCAGCTTTTCTGCTGATAAGACCCAGCCGAGAGGCGGAACAGATGTTGCCCCGACATCCATCTGGGCCTCGTACCCCTGCTCTGACTCCCACAGCCGACACTCCACGCAGGACACCCCACGTTTCCTCACAGCCAGGGGCCGCTCCCCTCGTCAGGATCCTCAAGCAGTGACACAGCACAGAGACCAGCCAGGGTGCTGCTTTCATTCATGTTACATGTGTGTGTGTGTGTGTGTGTGTGTGTGTGTGTGACCTCTGGGTTCATCTGAGGTGTTTCCTCTTTGTTTCAACACTCTGCTCTTCCATGACTCACACACACACACACACACACACACACACACACACACACTTTGAATAACAAACACAAATGACGGAAATGCATTGACATGATGTAAGCTAGTGAGGAAATGTTCCCTGGACAAAATAATAATTTCCAGACGTGTGAAGTAATGAGACACACAACGTTGAGCCCTCTGACATTCTGAGTGTCACTCAACCAAATTTTGATTTGATGTTCTACAAACTTATTTTGATTGTTATAAGATTGTAGTCGTCCAGGAAATGTCGTTTGAATTTGATAGATTAACATTCAGGATAAATCAGATATAGATTCAAAGGCATGTAAATTGGTCTGCACTCTACGGGGCAGTAAATGACTGACTACTGAAGCAAAGACGACCAGTTTGGATTATTTAAAATTTAAACCATTTTAATTGTAGGAACTCTGAATGTTAACACACTCAAAGTTCATTACACATTTTATACACAATGTAACAAAGATCATTCAGTCATATTTAAGTATTTCCTATTAGGTACACACCTTTTCATATTCTACTACAAGCCCATAAATAAGAGAGTTCCTCTTATTACTGCTTAGTCCTGGTAGAGATCTTAATTCAGGTTCATGTACTACACCGACTAGTTTTTTTCCTTACTATTAAAAAGCAATAATGGGGCAGTATCAAAGGAACCCTGATAAAGGCCTTTACACTGAAGAGGAAAATCATGCTCACAACATTAGTGCATTGACTTATAAAGATTTAATATCCTGCCAATAAGAATTCCAAAAATAAGTTTAATGATGAATGTTTAAGTCATAAACTTGTAACCTGACTTTTTCTTCCCACCAATCATCTTTCACTTTGTGTTTTAATTATGTAAATTAAAATGATTGTAGATGTGCTGCAGGAGATTCCGATGATGCTGAATGGAAAGAAGATTACTCCGTGTCATGCATGTGATGCAGCAGGTTTGTGTTCAATTTTAAAAAACAAATGAGCTGATCAATCCTGACAGACTCTTGTTGGGGTACATCCCCGACATGTAGAGTGCACTTTGCAGCAACATGATAACTCATTTATTTTGAACTTTGTCTGCTTTTTTTCCCTTAATAGTCCTTTATAGTTTTTTTCCTGGAGTTTAAGACTTAATTCAACTTAACTTCAGGTATTCCAGTTGATGTCTACTTGACCCTGCATCTCTTCCAGTTCATTACATCTGATATAATGATCATGAAACACAAGCAAATCTCAGTCTATTGAATTAGTCTGTTTATACCGCAGTAATTTCATCAGACGTGGACATTGAGGATATTGTGCAGTGAACCAGACAGCTGTTAGAGTCATTTCTTTCCAATCAGTCCTGTTAGTCTGGGACGAACGGAAGCTCTGACTTTCTCACCCAGTCTTTTCATTGTCCCTTCTACAAACGTTTTTCTAATGTTAAAATACATAAACACAAGTCTCTGTTTTTGGAACAGATTTGGGATGCGGAAAATTGCCTTCCCGACATTTCATACACTGCCTCAGATTTATGAACCAGGATCTTCATGGATTCAAGTCTGCAAAGCTCACACTGCAACGGATCCACAGCAGGTAAACGTGAGGGACGTTTCACTGATAACAATTTTGTCTTTTTATGGCCTGTACGACTTCTGATCCTCTCTTTGTCCTACAATCGAGAAACGATCACAAAGGTGATATAGCAATACCTCAAAGTGAAATTTCTCCACTAGGAGTAAAATAAAAAAATATCGGCATCAAAATACTCTTACAATGTAATAGAAATACTTATTGGACTGTTAGAATGTAAGTATTTAAAACATTTTGGTGACTTTACTATGTATGCAGTATTTTATGTATAAATACATAAACAGGTTAATATATTGGTAAGTAGGTTAAAAAGATGCACTTCAAGCTCTCAAATTAATGTGCCTAACAGCTAAGTACTGTGTTTTTCTCTGA